TTTTTAATAAATAATATAAAGCCCCTGCTTTTGAAGACATATTTTCAACAAACTTCGAATAATAGTTAACAAGACCTAAGAATGCTTTAACTTCTTGTACATTACATGGTGGTGGAGCCTCAGTAATGGCCCTTTCTCGCTCTCGAGGAATATGTAACCCCTCTTTGTCAATTCGATAACCCAAAAATGTAACACTGTCCTTAAAAAAATTACACTTCTCCTTCTTAACCGACAAACCAGCAACATTCAATTTTTCCAAAACCAACGATAATCTGTCATCCAATTCATTTTTGTCTTTCCCAGATACAACTATGTCATCATAAAAACAACCGGTCCCAGGTATACCATTCAAAAGCTTATCCATTTCCCTTTGCAGTAAACCAGGTGCTGATGCTATTCCATAAGGCAATCTTTTAAACATATATAAACCCTTATGAGTAGTGATTGTCGTTAACCTTTGACTTTCCTTACTAAGTAACAATTGCTGGTATGCCTGACATAAGTCAAGAGTACAAAATAAAGTTGCACCACGGAACAAATTCATTAAATCATTTATTCTAGGAATTGGGTACCTATCTACTTCCAAAAATTTGTTTAACGTAACCTTATAGTCCCCACAAAGTCTAATAGCACCGTCTGCTTTGACTACTGGTACTATAGGTGTACCCCAATCACTGGTTTCAACTGGAACCAATAAATCTGCTTCAATTAATCTGTCTAGCTCTTTACTCACTCTGTCTTTCAAAGAGAAAGGTAAAACTCTAGGCTTACAAAATATTGGTCTAGAATTTTCTTTTAAAATTAAATCAAATGTCTTATGTTTGTAACAACCTAAATCTGTTTTAAAAACTGAGGAATACTTATGTATAACACTTTGAAGTGTTAATGAATTAAAATCTATGCATTTGGATAAAATCTTCATTTCTTTTAACCAATCTCTACCCACTATAGGCGGACCACCATCTCTCACTACATACAAATTTAATACCTTATTTAAGTTTTTATACTTCACTCTACATTCCAAAATTCCAATTGGAATAATAATTGAACCATTGTACGCTTTTAACCCAATAGTAGTTTTTTTAAGATCCTCTATCTCCCCCAACTTAAAACTCTCCAAATCTTTTTTTGATATAACCGACAAAGCTGATCCTGTATCAACTAAAATCTCTATCACTTTATTACTAATATCCAATTTAACACAAAAAGGCTTAACTGAGTTACTTCCGTCTGAGTCAAGATTATATAAATTACTTAAGTTAAGGTCAACTAAATCTACATTATTAACATGTTCAGTTTTATTTTTACTAACTTTCTTAAGGTGCCCAATTTTAGAACAATTAGAACACGAATATGTTTTAAACTTACAATCTGGCTTGGAATGACCATCTACTCCATAACAGTAACATACCAATTTCTTTTTCTTTGGTCCCTTAGCTGCAATCTTGACATGACCACCTTTTGATTCTGATAAGCTCCCTTGCTGCTCCGATTTTGGAAACTTATGGTTCTTCTTCTTAATCACTTTCTGATAATGAATTTCTTCCTGAGTTCCCAATTTAGTAACATCATTGTTAGCTGATTCCATCGCTAATCACAACTCTGTGCATTTTTTCAATGTCAAAGATCCTTCTGTCAGCAATCTCTTCTTAATGTTGTTATCTTTAATACCAAATATAATTTGGTCCCTTAAGGCATCATCGAGTGAAAGTCCAAATTCACAATGTTCAGACAACTTTTTTAAAGCAGTTATAAACTGAATAACCGATTCACTTGTAGCTTGTCTACGCTCCTTGAACTTGTATCGCTCTGTGATAACATTTGGCTTAGGATTCATATAATCTATTAATAACTGTTTAAGATCATCATACTTTTTATCCCTAGGGTTCATTGGCGTACATAAATCTCTGATTAACGAGTACCCATCATTACCTAATAGCGTTAAAAACATTAACTGTTTCTTGTGTACATTTATTTCATTAAGCGCCACAAATAACTCGAACCGTTCAATCCACGCGTTCAAATTGTCTTCTTTTAACCGTAACTCCGGCATATGCCCAACTTGCCCTATGCAATTGTTATGCGCATTACCTGGGTTATTGTCGTTCGACATGTTCGAAGATCGTAATTCTTCCCACACGAAAACCACGTGACACTTCAACAAAAAAAATTGACTTAACCGATTACTTCACATGTGCACTTCACCAATTATCTTCGTCGCCATTGTTATATTTAAAGTTCAACCGTTATACTAAATAATTAATACAACCCTTTTAAAGCATAATGATTCTTTATTATAATTCACAACTGTTACCTATGCTCTTATATCGTAGCATGCCATAGACATAATCCTTAAGATCTACTACAATCATGTAATTCTGTTATCATATAACTGTGTGTCATTGTGACCAACATTACAACTCAAACACTACAGTATTTTCCAGTAAACTTTTTTTCTATTATTTATTACTTACTATGGTAGATGAAAAATATATGTACAAGCATTTTATTCATTACACTTACACAGTTACACACTAAAATACAAAGCACAACTTACTATAGAAGTGTACAAGTACCTACAAGAATAATATTTTTTTTTCCGGACTTTTTTTTCCTAGTGTGGGACTTTTTTTACCGGGACTTTTTTTTCCGATTACCATAAGAAACGGTACCGTAAGGAGACAATGACGGTGATCTGAACCTGTTTAAACCGAAGCTGGTTGATATTGACTACTGGACCGGAGCTGGTTGACGTTGACGACTGGACCGGAGCTGGTTGACATTGACGACTGGACCGGAGCTGGTAGATGTGGTAGACTGGACCGGAGCTGGTTAATATTATTGTTTGGATTATATCCGAGACTACTCATTATAATTTGCCGATCGCTAGCTGCGACGACGTTGTCTTCTGACAATAACGTCCGAAACCGACTATATCGAAAGGGCTTCAGGAACGGCGGTGCTACAAAGGGCACAGACAAAAAGGCCGTAAAAAGAGAACCACGTGTAGTGTAACGGAAAAAAAGAATGTGTTTTTGTAGAGCGCTGTACACACACATACAACCAACGACGTATCTCGTCAAGAGTCTCAACAACAACAATAATACGAGCACACAGCGGGCCGACTCGCCGGCTAGACGCCGTTCGATCCAGCTGATCGAACGACGACTGCTTTCTCGATCAAGGGGGAAACAGTGTGACAACATCCGCACCAGTGGCCGATCATAATAGACAACTTGCGCGAACATAACGATTTCCGTAACACATTTAATGAAGTGCAGAGAACTAGCAAGCATAACTATGTGCCCCGAAACACAGCCATTGCGTATAGGGTCCGCTGGACTACCTTGTGAAATTGAATTATTCATGAAACTAACGGTGGTGCCGTCAACCTGTGCAATAAAATACTTAGAATTAGCGCGTAGCATCTACCATAAGTTAAAATATCATAATAAGTGGATTTATATAATAAACATCAGTGGTGAAGCGTCATAGGAAACAAAGAGACAACGTCACTCCACTTAGAAATTAGAACACTTTACAAACAAATAAATATTTTATTTTATTTAATATTAGATAATGTGAATTTTATTTTATATTATAAAATATATGATGTATTCTATATGTTTTAGTATTTGTTAAAATCGGTTTTTCGTTGTAGTGTTGACGTGTTGTACAGTTATGGATTTCTTAAAACAGACTAGAAGCGCGCGATACGGCCGTAGGGTCATTCCAAATATGGTATTATATTATCTAATAGACGTTGCGACGCAACGTCTCACAAATATTGGCGCGCGGGTACAGGGGGAATGTTAATCAGAGTGGGGTTTACTATGTAGTATGTACGCTATGAGACGCGTCTCGCCGTTCGTAATTACCACAATCCTCAATATTTATTATCGACGTCACCGTCGCGATTGATATAATATAGTAATATTCTTTTCTTATTCGTATCTATAAAGTGAGCAATAATAATAATAGTCTAATACGTATTTAATTTTAATAGCAGTGTATTTATAATAATTCATATTTTATATTTAAATTGATGAATCTTTTAAACATATTTTAAACTATTTAGTTGTTGTTTTCCGTTTAAATTTTTTTTGTCGCTTAAATAATTTCTTTCTGAAATATATTATTTTAAATTTGTCTACCCTAATCCCGAACCCAAGCTTCACCACTGATAAACATGTTAGACGATGTGGCAGTTACGTGTGATCGGTGGGATAACGCTAAGAATATTCAATTAAGTGGCGTAGGCATATTAACATTAAGTGAACAGTGCAGGGCGCATACACCACAAGTAGTGCTAACACCCTACAGACATCTGAAGTCTGTTCAGTATATCGACTTCATTCCTCCAGTGAACATACCAAGTGTTAAGATTCCAGTAGTACCAAGTCATAAATTCAATAACTTACTAAATCATCAAAATTCTATAATTAAACTAAATCACATAAGTGACTTTTCTAAAACAATTAAGGAACTCGAAAACGCTGTACAGGACGAAAAAGACCGAAGTTTATTATAAACAACCACTGGTATGCATACAAAAATAATTATACTATTATGTATAATATTAGGAATAACGATAGTTTATAGTTTATATAGTACTTATAAAAATAAACAAAAATATCGTAGTCATAGAATAATAGTGCCTAGAGTAGAAGTAACTACATTATAAAATATTTAATAAAAAAAAAAAAAAAAATGAGTACTGTAGGAGAATTGCTGAGGTTCATGGACCTTCGATATATACTGTACGAGGGCGATCATTCGAATCCCGGAATAAAAATCCCCGGAAAAAAAATCCCCAGAAATAAAATCCCCGTTAAAAAATCCCCGGTAAATAAAATCCCCAGAAAAAAAATCCCCGGAAAAAAAATCCCCAAAGCAACTATTTAAAAGCGGAATGACTATAATACTACCAATATATAACTTGACTAACTCACTGGACACTCTCTGATAAACGTTGAGCCTGAACAATGATAGATCGAGGCTTGCAATTTACACGGTACATTCGTACTACAAATTTAGTGTGCAATAAGAAAGCATTTTACAGATAAAAAAGGTTCGCGGGCCGCTAGTTGGGTGGGCCTTGGCATAGAGCAATAAAATTTGAAATTGGGAAAATACAAGTCAAAATAACTCAAAATACGTAATATTTGGTATCTATACGTTATTATAACGGTTACGGTTAGTACATCTTCAGTTCCTATTAAGTAACTTTGATTTGTGTGACTGTGCGAGGCCGTAATTGTCCGGCTATGGAAATCAATGCGACTATGGAAATTGTTAAATCTAACCAAGGGAACTATAAAATTTGCTTAAATGGTTATACTTATGTACACCAAAAAGACTGTAAGTTTTTCAAGAGATGGAGGTGTGCAAAATATAGTTCATTTAAATGTTTAGCCATTTTAAAAACATCGCTTCAAAATAGTAATCCAAGGGAGATCCATGAACACAATCATTCTGCCGATAAAAATGGTAAGATTTATTTTAATTTAATAATTTACATATAGTTAGGACACTTATATATTTATGTGTTATAAATATGTTCTCAAATTTTAATTAATTAATAAATTAATGTAGCACGACAAATTATTGTCGATAACAATTTTATCATAGGCCTTGATAAGTAGGTACCTATTACTGAATTAGTAACCAATTAGTACGTCCAGAATATAATTTTACAGATTTTGTTTTATTCGACAGACGATAAAATAAATCACTATAGGACAGTGTTCCAACTTATAATTTTAATTTTCCTATAAAATATTATGTAAAATATTATACAAACAAATTTAAAAACAAATATAAAACTACAAATATTTTATGTTCGCAAGATTTCCGCCAATGAATATAAATAAGAATTGTTATTATTTATAGCTATAGCTGCCATAAAAGTTAAACAAGAAATAAAAAATAAAGCTTTATCCTCAAATGATACACCCGGCCAAATATTTTCGGAGGTAATCGGGAATCTGGATGTCGATGTTTTAGCTGAGTTACCCAAGGAAGAATATTTAAAACGTAGTATTAGATATCATCGAAGTTTTCATAATCCGAACGAACCTCAAAATATCAAAGAAATTGTTATTGATGGTAAATTTTTTTTTTTAATTATATTAATTAGAAAATAAAATCCTATACTTAACAAATTATATCTATTTTATTACAGGTGAATGGGCATTATTGGGTAATAATAGACTATTATTGAGGGATAATGGTCCAGAGGCATCTGAAAGGATAATTATATTTGCAACAGATGAACACTTGCAACTGCTTTCAGAATCAGATACTTGGTATTTAGACGGGAATTTCGGACTGTCTCCAAAGTTTTTCCTACAGTTATATGTAATACGGGTAAAAAAAAATAATGTATTTGTAACTACGATTTACTGTATTTTACAAAGGAAAACTAAAAATACATACGTAGAAATGTTTCAAATTATAATGGATGAATGTGCTGAACGAAATGTATACCCTGACCCCAAATGTTTACATCTCGATTTTGAAAGCGCAGTTATTGAAGCAGCTAAAGAAGTAATTGGTGTCCATATTGATATAAAAGGCTGCTTCTAT